ATTCTTTGTTCCATCGAATTCAGATTAGTCGACTTCGCTGGTTAGGACACGTATTGCGCATGCCCAGCCATCGTCTGCCGCACCGCGCCGTATTCGCTGTTACGGCTCCAAGTTGGAAGAAAACGCGTGGTGACCAACAGATGACGTGGAAGCGAGGCATGAAGAAATGCACGAAGCGATTAGGTAGAATCGTCTCCCAGGTTGGGGTCCGAAAGACTCCACAACTGGTTGGCTGGAGACATTAAAGGATATGGCGACTTACCGACAGCAGTGGCGCTCAGGCAGAATGCCTGAAAAAGGTATGCATGAACACTTGGATTTTGTACTCTGTGTGTTGGACATAGAGGTTCTTTTTCTTTGCCTCCCTCGAAGTAGGCCCAATCCCTCTTCATCTTTTGCTTTATCATTTGATTTGTGTACATTGTGAGCTTGGCAGCGATCAGTGAAGTTCGCTTCACTGTATCTCGCTGTACGTTGATGATGATGATGATGATGAGTCATCCACAGTCCTCTTCCAGGGAATCCAAAATATCTAATCAACCACTTGGGCCTGCAACGAATTGCTCCGATCGAGGAAGACGTTCCTTTATTCAAGTCGATGTAGTTTAAATGGATTTATAGTAGAAAATGAGCAGCAATGTAGGGTGAGAATGGGGTCTAGTGTTTATGCTTTCATTGATTTGAATAGGTCAGATAAGTTGCATGGGGTTAAGACATATAAGCTAAGCAGGGTTCGTATGGGCATAGTAATAATAATAATAATAATAATAATGGAATATCGAAAACGTAACTAATCCGGTCACACATTAGCAATTCCGTACTTTGAATGTGTGGAATGTATGCAAGACATAGACTAATCGTTTGAGGTTATTTAATATTTCTGTATCCAGTATCATCCGAACATTCATGGAAATCCATTGATAGGCTGTCTTCAATGTAACTCAGTTCTGTTATCGTTAGCCATCACAGTGTATTATATTTCCCGTTGGAGATTTTCGCATTTTTCTAATTTTAAGTTTAAGAACTTGGTTTGTTAACTGTCTTGCGTGTGAAATTGTTATTCGTAGCTGTCACTGTTCCTCATTCTGTGGTGTATTAGTTCTCATTGCACAGAACCAGGTATATATCTGTTTCCTTACAGAATTGTTTCCCCACACTTGAATATATAGGAGTATTTACACTAAGTTCATTTGTGACTGGAGGCTAACAACAACAAGAAACTGAACTCATCTCGCGACGTTTCTTTCCTTCCCCTATCCTGATTTTCTTTTAGGCGGAACTGGGTGTACTTCAACGTCGCAATGGGAAAACTTATGTCCGATTGATTAATCAAAGCGAAGTCGACACTGTGATCCGAGCTATTGAAGCGGAAGTGGAGACACAGAAAAAATGAATTGTAGTGTGATGATATCCGTTGACCGGTGCGTTTGTGTATCGCCAATAAAAATCAAAATTTTCGCTACTCACATTGTCTTGCTTTGTACAAACGGGTTGATTTTTTTGTTTCCTCGATAGTTTACACATACGCCCAAAAGGATTTAGTGCATCGTTCAGTAATGCGGTTCAGTTACCTATCAATTGAGTGATCGATTGAGCTGCTTGTCTGACCAGTTTATTAGGTGATAGGTGCGTTGATAATAAAGNACGTGCTATATGTAAACTTATGACATAACTCATTTCATACACTTACCAGCCCTCGGTGTATTTTTCGTCCTAAAGCCTCTCGATTCGATAGGTGGTTTGATGGCATGTTAAATCACTTTAATTGGGATACAAACCAACACAAATTCAATGAAATAATGTAAATGTCAAACTACTTGGACAGTCAATGTTCAAGTGCATGTTAGCTGAATTTGGTCGAGCCTACCTAAGGAGTGCGAAGGGTGTCTTTTACAAGTTGATATCGTCTTGCAGCTCTTTTGGATCATGTTCTAACCAACTCGGAACGCACCGGATGGGTTCTTTCGCGTTATGCAGACCGAACATCTCCTTATCTCTGTTCGAAGCATCTTAACTTCTCACCGGACTACACCAAGCCCTTCCATGGTTACCGCGAGTTTCCACTTCGCTGCAAATCCGGTCAGAATGAAAAACTGAACGCAGTTCCCACCCAGTGTTCTTCGAGTTCCCAATGTGAAAAGTCGGGAAATTGAGCATTTTTACCCTGACCTTTATGGGTTGTAGAAGTACTTCAGTACCAGAGGGAATCAAGTGAACGATATTAAGGCAGTGTCGAAATACCACTACAGTTGTTAACTCCTCACTTTGGTTTTGATTTCTATGCTTTGGAGAATCCATTTGAAGAAAGAAAGCCGATTACTAAGGGTGAGTATAACTCGTGACGAGCAAGTAAAGCTTGGCGTTTGAGGTGAATTCAGGGGACCGCTAATCACTCAATTCTTAAGATGCTGCGTATACCTTTCGAACATCAAGTGAGGCAGTTGTAACTTCGCGTGAATCCGACTTAACTCAAAGTGCATTTACCAATCCCATTCTATTGGGAATCCCGCAAATTGATCGGTGCTTCTGCCGTCACACGTTTCCTATTGGGCTATTACATAACGTGTTTAGTCGAAATGAACTGATTTCTCCATAAGCACGCTGTGAATGAGTCACCGAGAAAAGATTTCGGTGGGGTGGGGTTTGACTGTTCCTCTGCTCTTGATTCTGGCTCGAGTGAGCTTTAGACAAGAATGAATGAACCTGGCGTTAATTGACCTGTCCTTCAGTTAAGTAAGAAGGTAGATCACTTACAGGTATACCACATACTGCATCAACCCAACCACCCTTGCTGTTCTATGCTAACTATCTCAAAATGATCACCTCAGGGGACATCTACCAAAGTTGAAGACCCAGAACAGCCACCTTGATTGCCGGCATCACTCGTTTGCCGTCATAGTGTGCGGCGTGTGGAATTGTCTTTCATCCGATGTAGTTTGCTCCTACAGTTGAACTGTTTAAATCTCAACTTGATCAAGCATTGGAACACTTAAAACTTCCACGAGTGATCGTGCACATTGTTTTTATTATCTCTTCGTGAAGTGATTTAATGTATTTGTAAAAATCCCATGGGGCATGATAAGCTGTAGCTTTGTATAATCGTCCATAATAAAACTTTGACGTCATAGTGGATCGGGCGTTACGCTCCGGCATGAGCAGGTTCTGCTCAGACTCTCGATAGCCGAGTGAATAAATTCCATTGAGACTAAGGATCCCTTGTATTTCACCGCTTCATTTGAACGGAACATCGGTACTTTTATACTGTTAATATAGGAAGACCCAGTTAACAATGGTGCCTGAATGCGAAGAAAGAGTGATCAGTATTTCATTTGAGTAGCAATGAAGAATCTGAACTCACTTTCTGCTTACCCGAAATTGGAAATTTTCAGTCATTCCCGGACTGGAAATGCCGCTGTCAACCACCTAGCACCTATAGCTCCTCCGTTCGTTACTTAGTTTCACCGCATAGTTGCTTATTTTTGTCGCATCTTTTCACAATCTGATTACCCTTACTACGTCTTTATAGTTCATTGGGTAATATATAGTC